ACTTCAAGGTCCTAAAAGGATATTGAAAAACATTCATTTCTTTTTTAGTTTAGATGGTAGACCAGAATGAGTTCAAAAGAAAGTTTTGCTGCAAACAATAAAATCTTCTTTTAAACAATAATTTCCCAAGTAATGTGTGTTCATTTTTCTTATTTTTGCCCTGGTAAATACCTTTTCTCCCTTTACATTTTCTCTTGCTTTCTGATATTGCCTGCAACTAAGGGATAACTTATCACGGACATGCAGCATCCAACACAGAGCACAAAGTTCCCTGAAGCAACCTAAAGCAGGAACACAGATATGAAAGAAAATTATATGAGTATGTACATTAATATTATAACAACTCCACCTCTGCTGGTCATTTTTTTCAAAGTAAAGGTCTTTATTTCATTAATTATAAAATGAACACATGCATTGTAAATGTATATAAAAATCCTTATCTAAAAATCATGGAGACTGACTTAAAAGTCACTTATTGATATTTATTTATGTTTAAACATTTTTAATACTAAAAACAATTTCTAATAGTAAATAATTTATTAGAAGCAATACAAGTACACAAAGATATATAAAATCCTACTATGTTTGCTGCTTTGCAACTAGCTTTTTTTTCACCTACTATATCTTAGATATCTTTTCATGTGCTTTTCATATACTGAGTCTTCTTATTGCCGATACGGTGTTCCATACTATAAACAATGCACAGGCTCACAATCCAGCTATCAAAACTAGTTTTCACTCTTCTGCTAATTTTAAATTTCTATTATAGTTAACATGTGACCAATTAAGTGAAAACCATCTCTCTACCCTACTGTTCTATGGTTAATAGGACCTTTTCAATGGTGTGATGTAGGCTTTGTACACAGAGCAAGACTTTGTCTCCCAGCTACTTGGAAACCTGAGGTGGGAGGATCGTTTGAGCCGAGGAGTTTGAGACCAGCCTCCATGTTGGTATGGACGTGGTGAAAAGGAAACACTTTTACACTGCTGGTGAAAACGTAAACTAGTACAACCACTATGGAAAACAGTGTGAAGATTCCTTAAAAAACTAAAAGTAGATCCACCATTTGATCCAAACAATCCCACTACTGGGTATCTACCCAGAGGAAAAGAAATCATTATATGAAAAAGACACTTGCACCCGCTTGTTTCTAGCAGCACAACAGCAAGACCATCTCTGGAAAAAGAAAAATACAGGAACTTTTCCTCTGGAGAAAGAAAGATAATACTCTAAAATTTAACAGTCATTCATTTATGCCTTATTTATTTTTATTTATTTTTTACTTATTATTATTATTTTTGAGACGGAGTCTTGCTCTGTCTTGCCCAGGCTGGAGTGCAGTGGCACGATCTTGGCTCACTGCAGCCTCCACCTCCCAGGTTCAAGCAATTCTCCGGTCTCAGACTCCAAAATAGCTGGGACTACAGGCATGTGCCACCATACCTGGCTAATTTTGTATTTTTAGTAGAGACAGGGTTTCACCATGTGGCCAGGCTGGTCTCCAACTCCTGACTGACTTCAGGTAATCCACCTGCCTTGGATTACAGGTATAAGCCACCGCACCCAGCCTATGCCTTAATTTTTTAAATAAGCCTTATTTTTACAATAAACTGACTTTTATATTAGTAGTCAGTATGTTCATTTTCTTTAGGGAGTTATTTAGTATGTTTTTAAAATAAATACTACAAAGTCAAAAAGAACAGTTTGACATTATAGAAACTGAGGAGAAAGCAGGTCTTCTACACATTCTATTCATCCCAATAGTGAGAGAGGATGGTGGGTATACGGCCCCAGGGGGACTACTGGGGTCTCCAGTGAGCATTTTCACACTACAGCCCACCCCACACATCAGATTCTCATAGATTCTGCCAGGGGAGCATGGCCCAATCTTTTGAGAAAGGCATCATTACTAACAGATGTGTTTCATTATTTCATATTTCACAGGCAAGCTGGGATAGAACTAAGGCCAAGAACTAGCAAGAGACAGTGCAGCAGCATACTAAACAGCGACTCATCTAAAAACACTCCTTATCTGTGTTTTTCAGAGTGTCGATTACAACCTATTATTAATTACTAGGCTATAAAATCAATACAGTGAGTCTCAATCATCTTTTAAAAATAGAATACAATAGAATACATCAAGAGTGCATTGCGGCCGGGCGCAGTGGCTCACGCCTGTAATCCCAGCACTTTGGGAGGACGAGGTGGGTGTATCACCTGAGGTCAGGAGTTCGAGATCAGCCTGGTCAACCTGATGAAACCCTGTCTCTACTAAAAATACAAAAATTTGCTGGGCGTGGTGGTGTGCACCTGTAATCCCAGCTACTTGGGAGGCTGAGGCAGGAGAATCACTTGAACCAGGGAGGTGGAGATTGCAGTGAGCCAAGATCACGCCATTGCACTCCGTCCTGGGTGACAGGCTGAGACTCTGCCTCCAAAAAAAAAAAAAGAAAAAGAAAAGAAAAGAAGAGTGCACTGCACACAGTAAGAGTAAAAGTAGTTCATTAAATTTTCATTCCAACTTCATATGGGTGTGTGCATGTATAACCTTGCTGTAAAATCTGCACTTACTTTAAATCACGGTCAGAAATGTTTGAATACCAAAAAGATGTAATCAACTGAAACCAGAATAGAACAGGTTCTACCAGACAAATGATCTAGTTTCCGCAATAAATAAAGGGCATGAAAAAGAATGGGCGCAAGGAAACTTTTATAGATTAAGACAGACTTATAGGCCAGGCATGGTAGCTCTTCCTGTAATCCCAGCACTTTGGGAGGTCAAGGTAGGATTGCTTGAGCCCAGGAGTTTGAGACCAGCTTGGGCAACAAAGTGAGGCCCTGTCTTTATGAAAAAATGAAAAAAAAAAATTAACCAGGCCTGGTGGTGCACACCTGTAGTCCCAGCTACTCAGGAGGCTGAGGTAGAAGGATCACTCGAACCTGGGAGGTCAAGGCTGCAGAGAGCTGTGATCACACCATAAAAAGAGAAAGATTTATATATCAACCAAAATGCAATGTGTGGCGGACCTTGATTGGATAGAGATTTTTTAAAAAACTATAGAAAAGACATATTTGAGATTATCAAGTAAATTTAAACATGGGATAGATAATATAGTCAGATGCCACATAATGGCATTCAGGTTAACAACAGACTGCATATACCATGGTGTGCCCATAAGATTATAATGGAGCTGAAAAATTTCTGTGACCTAGAGACATCATGACATCATAGTCCATACATTACTCAGGTGTTTATGGTGACAATTGTGTAAACACACCTACTGCACTGCCAGTCATATAAAATCTAGCCCATACAATTATATACAGTACATAATACTTGATAATAATAAACAACTGTTACTGGTTTATGTATTTACTATACCACGTTTTTTATCGTTATTTTAGAGTATACTCCTACTTATTAAAAAAAAATAACTGTAAAACAGCCTCAGGCAGGTCCTTCAGGAGTTATTCCAGAATAAGGCATTGTTGTAAGAGATGACAGCTCCAAGCATGGTATTGCCCCTGAAGACCTTCCAGGAGAACAGGAGGTGAAGGACAGAGATATTGATGATCCTGACCCTATGTAGGCCTAGACTAATGTATATGTTGTGTCTTAGTTTAAAGAAAAAAGAAAATTTAAAGAGTAAAAAATAAACTTCAAAATTTTTCAATAGAAAAAATCTTGGCCGAGCGCAGTAGCTCACACCTGTAATCCTAGCACTCTGGCAAGCTGAGGTGGGAGGATCGATTGAGGCCAGGAGTTTGAGACCAGCCTGGGCAACATAGTAAGACCATGTCTCCATTTTATAAATAAAAAAAATTAGGCCAGGCGCAGTTGCTCACACCTGTAAACCCAGCACTTTGGGAGGCAGAGGCAGGCGGATTGCTTGAGCTCAGGAGGGCAAGACCAGCCTGGGCAACGTGGTAAAACTCCATCTCTACTAAAAATACAAAAATTAATCAGGTATGGTGGTACATGCCTGTTGTGCCAGCTACTCAGGAGGCTGAGGCAGGAAAAATGCCTGAACCCAGGAGGCAGAGGCTGCAGTGAGCCAAGATGGCACCACTGCACTCCAGTCTGGGTAACAGAGACTCCATCTCTACAAAAACTAAAAAATAAATTAGCTGGTACAGTGGCTCATGCCTGTAGTCCCAGTACCCAGGGGCTGAGGTTGGAGAATCCTTTGAGCTCAGGACTTTGAGGTTGCAGTGAGCTATGATTATGCCACTGTATGTCTCTTAAGCCAAGTGTGATTACAAGAGTCAAAAAGGTTTTAATTTTTTTAAGTTCATAAAATAAAAACATTACAATAAGCTATGGTTAATTTATTATGGAGGAAAAAATACTTTTAATAAATTCAGTATAGCCTAAGTGTACAGTGTTTATAAAGTCTACAGTAGTGTATAGTAATGTCCGAGGCCTTCAAATCAACTCACCACCCACTCAGTGACTCCCCTGGGGCAAAAACTTCCAGTCCTGTAAGCTCCATTCATGGTAAGTGCCCCACACTTACTATTTTTAAAAATCTTTTATACTGTATTTTTACTGTACCTTTTCAATGTTTAGATATGTTTATATATATAAATACTTACCATTGTGTTAAAACTGCCTACAGTATTCAGTGTAGTCACATTCTGTATTCAGTACTGCAGTATTCAATATGGCAACACTTCTTTTTAGAGACAGGGTCTCACTATGTTGCCTAGGCTGGAGTGCAGTGGCTATTCACAGGTGCAATCATTGCACACAATAGCCTTGAACTCCTAGGCTCAAGCAATCCTTTTGTACAGGTTTGCAGCCTAGAAGCAGAAGGCCATATCACATAGCCTCAGTGTGTACTAGGCTATTTTTGTCTAAGTATACCCTACGATCACACAACAAAATTGTCTAATGACACATTTCTTAGGACATATCCCTATCACTAAGCAGGCCTGACTATATATGATATTAAAGATTTATTGTCCGTTTTGTCAGTCATGATAATAGAATTATGGTTTTAAAAACTACCTCATCTGGGCCAGGCACGGTGGCTCATGCCTGTAATCCCAGCACTTTTGGAGGCCGAGGCGGGTGGATCACGAGGTCAGGAATTCAAGACCAGCCTGACCAACATGGTGAAACTCCACCCTACTAAAAAATACAAAAATTAGCTGGGTGTGGTGGCCCGCATCTGTAATCCCAACTACTCAGGAGACTGAGCCAGGAAAACTGCTTGAACCCGGAGGCAGAGGTTGTAGTGAGCTGAGATTGTGCCATGCCATTGAACTCCAGCCTGGGCGACAGAGCAAGACTCCGTCTCAAACAACAACAACAACAACAACAACAACAACAACAACAACAAAAACCTCATCTGTTCACTACATATACTGAACTACTTATCATACTTATGATATACTCAGATCTGCTTTGAGGCATTGACAATTGTTGTAAGTGGGTGAAAGGTACTCGATTGCTTATAAATCTCTACTTTGGTTTAAATTTTCCGTAATAAAAAAAAATCTTCAACACAGTGTGAAATCCTGGGCCAGGCATGGTAGCTCACACCTGTAATCCCAGCACTTTCGGAGGCTGAGGCAGGTGGATTACCTGAGGTCAGGAGTTCGAGACTGGCCTAGTCAACATGGCAAAACCCCATGTCTACTAAAAATACAAAAATCAGCCAGGCGCAGGAGCGGGCATCTGTAGCCCCAGGTACTCGGAAGGCTGAATCACTTGAACGCAGGAGGTGGAGGTTACAGTGAGCCGAGATTATGCCACTGCACTCCAGGCGGAGTGACAGAATGAGACTCCATCTCAAAAATAAATAAATAAAATTCAAAGTTAAAATCTACTATTTTAGGTAACAAACTAGGCAACAAACCTCGTTTTTTTATTTTTTAATTTAATTTTTTTTTTTTTTTTT